AAGATGCTGCCATGCCATCACCCCTCGTGCCAGCCACATGTTGCCACCCCAAGGCTGAAGAACCATAACTCCAACTTCAGGTTTGCCTCTTCTGCCCTCAGTGTACCTCATGGTAGAAGTTTCTTAGTCAAATAACGTAATGCTTTTCCTTTACAACCTGTCATGAATAAAGATTTCACAGCAGGAATTGGAGGCATTAAAGGAGAAGCAGAAGAGAGAGTTTGTGTGCAGATGATGAAAGAACAGAGGGAAGCATGATGAGCTGCAGTGAGGAGCCTGGCTGGAGTCCTCACCAACAGAAACTTTGTGTTTGGATGAGAGAAGAGACAAGAAACCACTAAAGCAGTTCAGAGGGTGAGTGCAGCTGTAAGACAAGATTGCCTGGCAAGGGAGTTTTTAGCTGGGGGAGAAGGTGGTCAGAACAGGCAAATGCCTGCAGTGCTGGTGTCAGGAAACACGGGCATTTTTAGAATCTGTAGATGGAAGAGCAAGAGCCTGAAATAGCAACAGATCAACTGTTGAATATGGGGGAAGAGGCAGAAATTTCCAGGTTGGTCTATAGATATCACGGGCTGTGACAGCTGCCTAATGAGATGTCTTGAGGCATGATGTTGCTTTCTCAGTGTGAGAGTTGTTTTATTCCTTTTCATGCTCTTCATTGCCCACCCAAGCAGGAAGTGTCATTTCACAAAAGCTGACAGAGGTCACTGTTTTAATAACTATTGTTAATTGATGCTTCTCAAAAGCCTTTTATCAACTTGAATTTGCTACCTGTGGAGACTAGCTCAGCAGGTGGCTGAATTAAATTAAAACTTTAATTCTGTGGTTAATAAATCACGCTAGAACTGTGACTGTATGTTTTAAAATATAATATCCAATCAATTTGTCTGAAAGCCATTTATTTATAATAAGAAATTATTAGCTGTGATATAAACGGTTACAAAAAGCCCTCCCTGAAAGTTTGGGAGCACTTCCTGTGCTAATAAGTGATGGAATGTGTGGAGTTTCCCCCTTTTGCTGTCCAGAATACCTGGAATCACAGACTGAACAGAATCAAGAGCTGCTCTTCATCCCAAACTGTGTTTCCCACCGAACGATTCAGGAATGGTGAAGCTCCATTGCATTGCAGACATCTGTCTGAAATCATGTAGCAAAATGTTCTTCTTTTGAAAGATCTCCTCCAAAATTGGTTACAAACTCCTATATTTCTAATTTTTAAACAGTAATATTGAGTGGAAAAAATGAACAGCATGGAAGTGAAATACTGTGTGGGATGAATGCTATTTAAATCTTGTCTAAGCTGTTAAACATCACACTAACGTTGGATCATTGGATCTGATCCAGTAAAAATAAAAAAAAAAAAATAAAAAAAGCAGATATATAGAGAGAGGTCACATCAGAGAACCAAGCCATCTGTCCAGTATGGAATTAAAGGCATTTTATAATGAATTGGTTTTTCATATTATGGGGGGCCTAGGTGTGAATCAAAGAAGATGGTTCCTGAATTATTTTTATGTTGTCAACCTGATGTGTTAGCATGCAGCATCTCATCTGGCTTGCGTAGCTAATTAGTCCATTATAACAAGTATTTTATAATTGACTTCAAAAGTTTTTTCAGTTGGTTCCAGACATTATTCTTGTAATATGGACCAGTATGAGCCTACTGCCAAGTTTTCAAAGAATATCTCTGTTGCTTTATTCTGGCATTGTTTTATCTTACATGTTCATAACAAAGAAAGCTTTCATTTGGAGGATAACATTCAGAATTCGTTCCAGTCTTTGCTGGTGTTCTTGGAGTAGATTGGTTCATTTGACCTCTGCAGTATTAATATAGCATGTTTATACAAAAAAGGACCCTGCTGCATTAAAATGGAAATAACAATTGATAGCGTTGACAGCCTTGGAGGATCTCTGATGTCAGCTCTCATCTTACTGGACAGGGTTCAGTTGCACATTCAGTTGCATACCACTGATTGGAACTATTTATCATTTTTAAAATAAAGGTTTTCTGTTCAAAAGTAATTTTAAAACCTCCGTGCAAAACATGAATCTGTGTCATGAGGGAGAGAAGAATGAGGAAAATGGGATGGAGAAGTTGCAACAAACCTACTATTAAAGCTTCTTGATAAATCTTCCCTCTGACTAGTAAAATTACATTAGCAAAATAGGTGTAGGATGTTCATGATGGGAAATCCTTTGTCATTTACTGGTCAGAACCCATTTGGGGTAGGGTGCAGTTATGATGAGGTTTCTTGAAGCTCTTTTCAGTAGAGCCACTAAGTGGGAGCCTTAGAATGATCAGGTGTTCATGTATTGGTTTGAGTTTTTCTGTCATATAGGAATAAGAAAGATTAAATTCCATCTGTAAAGAGTTCAAATACTGTGCTGTGCCTGCACGTGGGGACTGCTGGGTATGGCCTTTTGCAGTCTGTCTTCAGGCCTGTTGAAGCATCCTTTGCCTCTCTGGACTCTCTTTTCAACTCTTTGTAAGTGAAAGCCTGGCTGTTTTAGGGCGAGAGGGGAATTTACTGCCATATGATTTTCACCTTGTATGTAATTCTGAGAGTTCGCTGTATTTTTTTTCATAAGCTGAAAATATGCCTAACATTTCAGCAAATCTATTTCCATGTGCTTTTCCCTGCTCTGTTACTACTTGTGTCTGTAAATGCTCATTCCAGCCAGCATCTTTTGTAAGTAGGAGAGAACTGAGACGTGGTGAGTACATTGCAAGTGCGCATAGCAGAAGTAAAATTAAACTTTTCTTCTTAAGTGCTACACTTTTCTGAGAGTCTGTAAAAAAAATTCTGTAACATAAATAGGAGCCGTCATATTTTTGAGCTGTAACTTGCTGGATAGAGATGTGTAAATTGTGATTGCTCTGATTTTGGCACTAAATTAATGCGTTTCAGTTCTGCAAAAGAAGTTCCAGACAGCAGTTTTTTGTATGACCTTCTTTGCAGACAGCCTCGGGAATGCACTGTATCTCATCTTCACTGTATCTCATCTTCACTGTATGCTCTTCAGTTTGCTCTATAACAGTTGTCACCTGTTATACTTCTCCATTGCCGTGCTGCTTCTCACTTATTGCACTGATCACAGAATCATAGAATCAGGTTGGAATCATAGAATCTCAGGTTGGAAAAGACCTTCGACGTCATCAAGTCCAACCTCAACCTAACCATCCTTAGCAGGGTGTTTTACCTGATGTCCTCTTTGAAGGACATGGCCCTAGAAGAGCTCTGCCATGCGTTATGTTGTATGTCATTTTGTGTTTGAGGCCATCGTGTAGTCAGACTAACTCAGAATCTTTGAAGAACCCTTCTGGTCTGATGTGTCCTCAGGAAATGCTGATGTCTGCTTTTAAATAAAGGCAAAGGGCTTGTGGATTTCCTCTGGATTCTCTTGTTTGAGAAAGGAAGGAAAAGGCCACCTGTGAGCATGGACCCCGTAGCTGTGCCTTGCCAAAGTTACACGGATTTCTTTTGGTTATTTTTTGTTGGGTTGGTTTTCTTGGATTGGTTTTCTTGAGCATTACAAAACCAGTTGTAAACCCCAATATCTTAGTAACCATCTTTTGGTAGAACTTCACACTGAGTTAACATGAACAGTAGTCTTCAGACTATTTCTATTTTATATCAACTTTTGACCTAATTGCATGGCTTTACGTGTGGGTTCACTCCAGGGCAGGACTGTTGACAAGCCCAGAGCTCCATGTTCTGCCTGACACCAGTCTTTTCTGAGAGAAAAGCAAGGATCTCTTTCTCCTGCTCAGGTGGCACCTGATGGTGGTTGGCTTCGAGCATAGCTTGAAGGCATGCAGTCAAGGCAAATTTTGCATTTAAAAATGGGTCTAAGAAAGAGTTGAAGAATGAATCACCTCCAACCAACCTGGATCTTTGCAAAGGATAAACGTACACGGCCACTGGGGTTTTTCAGAGAGATACAAGCAGATAAAATGCCAAAGCCCACAGTGTTGTTTCTGTGATGTAAAATTACTTGAGTTTTTCTTCCTTAATGCATGTAGGCTTTGTCTTTTGTTTTACGATGTGCAACTTTGTATTTTATTTGTTTTTAAATTATCATCCCAAACGCAGAAAATTTAAGTTCTGCAATAATTTGCATTAAAATGTCCAAGGCTGTGAGGTGGCTCCTAGCCATATGCTAATGGAGAAATACAGAATTGCTTTCCACCAGCATCTCAGTCGGACATCTCCATTCACACACAAGAGATTTGGGATTCAGTAGTGTTTAAAATTAGGCGTGTACTGTTCATCTTTGATGTGTAGATTACTCATCTTGAAGCACTCATATGTCTTCTCCTTCACCATGCTAAGAAAGATCTTGGTTTGTGGATATTCTGGCTGCTTATTAGCAAACAGGCTGTTAATGAGTCATTGAAATGAATGGGGAAACTTTTCTGCTCAACTAGAAGTGCAGATTAAGGTTTTAACAGAGCTTTCCAGGGTGGGAGAGGTTTTGCTGGGTTTTATCGTTGTGTGGGTGCTGTGAATAAGCAGGACAGTTAGTTGATCTGGGTGTCCTACAACTCTGATGGGCAAAACATCCCTGGGGAGGTTGCCTGACAAACTGTGTCCTGTGTTTTGTTTCAAACGTTTGCAGACTTTCATGTTACCTAATAAAGGATATCTGGCTCAATTTAAAAATGCTTTGCAAAACTGTTTTTCTCTTAAACAAAAACCCATCTTTGCTTGTATCCCAACTACTGCTTTTTGAAAATGCCGTGTGTTTTTATATTTCAATATCTGTGTTGAAGTAATTAGTATGTGCAACATCCACTTGGGTGTAGCTCATGGTTTGCCTGCATTCAAGGTCAGTCCGTTCCTTTTTATTCTCATACTTTTCTTCTGTACGTATTCGCTATCTTGTATGTATCAAAGATAATTAAAGTAATTCAAAGAAATCCTCTGGACGTTAAAAATAAGTAATAATCTGCAAGTCTGTGACAAGGAGGTGTGTGTAACTGTTGTGTTGTTTGGCAGATACGTCGATGATGTGATCAATCGCATTGACAGGATGTTTCCTGAGATGTCTATCCAACTCTCCCGGCCCAACGGGACCTCTGCAATGCTGCTGGTGAGTTGGGTCGTTTCGTCCTTTCAGATGGATTTCTTAAGGGACTTAATTGCTATTTCTAAAAGGCAGGCTATTAAAGATGATTTTTTTCCCAGAAACATGCTGCTCTTCGTTTGACCCAGCAGTGTAAGATCTCTTTTGCTTTTAGGCAAATAGATGATAAAAAGAATTTCACCTTTAAATGCTTTTTGTTGTTAAATAAGATTGTTGAAATATGAACGTGAGGTCAGATACTGTGTTTTTCAGCAGTCTTGGCAGTGAGTGTATCTCAATCACGGCAGTGAAGAAGAAAAAGAAGTAAGGGTAGGAAGAGAGAAATTGTATTGGTTTCCTTTGTCTAAATTTGTTCAAATTGCTCTTGGTCCAATGAATTTCTGTTTTATGATGAAGTCAAGAATTTGCCTTTGAAGTAAATGAGCAGTAAAGGCCGGATTACGGATAAACAAGTCCAATACATTCGACTTATTTCTGCCTGACCAAGCAAGATTTCATTCCAGAAGAGCCCATTGTTCACATCAGTTCTCACAGGCAGCTGTTGTGCTTAAAGAAAGAGACGAGTCTGTGAAGTTTTGACTCCAGGACAGCAGCACAGAAATAGGGTCTGCTGAACTCTTACAGCATGGCACTTGAAGCTGATTCTCCTGCAGCCGAGTAAAAGTCTGAAGTCACATCTTTTGACAGCTTTTAAATAAAAGTGGAAAATTGTATCCGAGTGAAAATTTGGGACCAAATCAGCCTTTTCCATCTCAGATCGTTTGTGGCACATCCTCACATAGGCTGCAATGAAAGGCTCGTGTGAGTACAGTTGTTGTTTCCAAGCAAATGGTAAAAGGAATCTAGAAATCAGATGTTTTGTCAAAACAGCTTTCTTGAATCATGAATTTATGTTTTTTTAGTGTTTGTTAAATTGAATACTCTGTTATTTTTAGGTTTTGCCTGTATTTTTCAAAAATACTATAAACGTCTCAATAATAAGTGTAGCTGTGATTACATTCCATTTTAATTAATCAATTCTTTAGCATCTTAATATTAACTTTCTTTGAGTAGCCTAAAATTTGCCAGGGATTAACTGAGTCAGAGGTTAAAATATACAGCTGGCTTCCACTGGCATTAAATCATTTAATCTGCAATTGTTGGATTCACCAAGTGGAACAACATATTCCATAAAAGAATTGAATTCATCAGTGCAGTCTTAAGAAGCTCTAAGTCGTGGAAACTTTTGCATTTGCTGTTTAGCTGACTTTATGTTTAACTGTTTCACTGTAGAAGAGAAAAAGTCTCATTTTACTTCCTTGCTTGGAAACCATTTCCATTCTCTTAGAGTCCCTCACTGCATCCAGTAATTGCCTTCTGATTCTGATGGCTTTTTGAGGTCAGAAAACATGTGATACTTTTCAAGAATTGGGCACAACTGGGAAATTTTGTGAGTTATCTTGGATAAAACTGGTTGGCAAGGTGCATTGGAAAAATGGTAACTGTAAAAGAAGCAATTAGTTATAACTTACCAAATAACGTAAATCTAAATCAAGGACATTATTATTGCTACAAGACAACAGCACTGCACTGAACCAATGGGTTGCATATCTTCTTTGGATCAGAGATCAAAACCACTGCTTTTAAAGTATATTTTTGCATGTGATTTTGTGATGGGTTTATCATTTTTTCTTTTAGGCAGGTTTTCCCTCTCTCCCATCTGTCTCAGTTGATGTTGCCAATATGGCACTTTCCATCTGGCCCCGACTGCTGCAGAAGCTTTTGCTGTTTTCAGCCACAAATCATTCAGCGAAAGGTGCTGCAGGATGGGCAGTGTGAAGAGCACCTCCCCCAGAAGAAGGGAGTTTTCTGCAGAACTTGTCATTTCTCACTCTGAACTCATCCCAAGTTAGATGTGGAGCTGCTCTTCCTCAGCAGTGATTTACCATAATGCCAAGGGATTCGGATAATGCTTGTTTTATTTAAAAATATTTCATGACCATATACAGTTCGTCCAGAGATAATTAACTAACCAGAATCTGAACCAGATTCTTTTGTGTAGTGTTTGTATCATACCTGCCATTGCTTATGAAGATCTTGACCATAGAGGAATTGTTGTCATATGAAGATATCTTTAAATCCAGTCCTTTGGTTTGCCAAAAGCACACACATTCGTCATCAAAGGCACTGATAAGCAAGATGTATATTTTAAGAACGTGCAAACTATTGGAAGGAGGTGGGGAAGAAGGATCAGGGCGTGCCTGTGAGATTCCTTGAAACGTCAGAATTACTGGAAATGGCCTCAAAATCATCTTCAGGATAAAGAGATCTAATTCAGAAAATTTCAGTCCCAAACTGATTGGTGCCCACCTTCATATTCATGTGGAAATCAAGTCACATCCTTAGCTGTGATGTGGGGCTTTCAGAGCCTGCATCTTTGTAGAGAGGTGATCACAGCTGTGGGAGCTGCTGCTCTGAGTCCCAGGGTTGGTAACCTCTGCATGATGCTGGGCTCCTCCTCAGCACAGTACAGCTCTGCAATAAGCTGAGAACTTTAAGCAGGGGGGCTGAAGAAAGTATTCCTGTGAGCACAGATGCTGTACATTGAAAGGTTTCTGCCTGCTGCTCCTTCGAGGGTGCTGCTTCCTCAGACAGTAAGGAGATTTTTGTGTTGTAGATTTATACACAGCAATTGTACCTCATTAGTCTGGATTTATGCTGCACAGACCAAACACATAAATAATTGAAGCCTTTCAGAGCTGTGTGAAATCCTCAACCGACTTTAAAAGCAGTTTACCATTTCAAGGTGCTGTTTAATCCCAATCTTCACCAGTGATTTTTCTATTAATCTTTTAATCGCGCTATGCATAAAAAAGACTAAACATAGAATTATATCAGCTTTAATAACAGTGTTATGCAAAATTAATTTGCAGCAGCAGCAGAGGGAACTGAGGCCTTCTTAAGATTTTTGTGAGATTTTGTTGGTCAACTGCCAGGAACTGTAAAGAGAGAAACCTCATCTCGTGTTAAGAAAACACAAATCGATTTTTAATTAATGAAAAATACCTGCAGTTTTGATGGTGTTAAATAGTTAGTTGTATTCCTAGATACTATTCCTCTATTTATTTCTAATGATGCAACCATTGTATGGTTGTTTCACATACCTTGTTTCTGTTACCAGCATTAAGACTATCTTTTTCAGTGTGAAACTTCTAATTCCTGAGTACAACTCATTCCTTTGATATCAGAAGTATTTTACAACACAGTAAGTATTGGTTCCATATGAACTTCTTTATGGCCACGCACCTGGCCAGCCCTATGCAAACACAGCAACTTCTGCTCATCTTGATCCAGGAGCCACTTGGTCTTCACGCAGCTTTGTCTCCCCAGTGTTTGTAAAGCTGTGTAAGGTCACTGCTCTCCAAGTCAGGGACAGCAGATGAATATTTTTAGAAATAATGAATAGCTTTCTGTATTTTGAGCTGTTTCTGAAGCATAATGCTCTGTGTAACTAACTCTCCACTGGAAAAGTTGTTTCTTCCAAAGCAAAGCTCATTTCAGAAATTGCCATTTCTTGTTTTCATGTTATCTTACAAACTTTCTGATGCTGAAGACATTTTATGCATTTATACAGATGCCTAAAATTTTAGTGGATCTCTCTATAAAAACATGAAGCATTTTTACACAGTTTCTGTTCATTCTCAGTAAAATCAGACACATTTTCAACTTTCAAATCTTGTTCCAAGCATTTTAAACAGTCTGATTGTATGGAAGTGGGCTGTATTAATTGCAAATAGGCTAGACATCTGTTCACTGAATCTGAATAACTTCTTATGTCTGAATGTTGTTTATCGGTGTTTTACATAAAATCATGATGATTTTCTAGGGGGAAAATGGATTCTGAAATTATTTGTCCATTAAAGAGGGCTCTAACTGATTCTTGTTCAAGGCACCTTATTCTTGGGAGAGGTTGGAGAATTGGAAATTGTGACCTGAAGTTAGAAGTATTTTTTTTTATAAGAAGTTTCATTTTCTACAAGGTCCAGATCCACCTCCATCCTTGTGAAGTTCCCACTGTGCTGTAATTCAGAATAGAAAGAGACAAAATCCATTTTGCCATCCATAGCAGTGCTGGACCAGCATCACCAGTTCATATGCATGGCACCAGTGGCACAACAGCACTGTGTGACACTTTGTTTGCTTTAGTAGCTGAAAGTGCCTTGGTACTAAAGGAGAACATCACCAGCTTATCCTTAATATGGCAAAATCATTTAAATCCTTTATCTACGTTAACTTTTTATCGTGCACTATTGCAATTAGGTTCAATTAATGAAAGGCAAATTCCAGCCCTTACATTAAAATAAGGAGGGGGGGCAAAAAAAGAGGAAAAAATTCCTTGTAAAGAACTAATTAGTATGGTTGTTTATTTAGACTCTAATAGCTTAATTGCATCCTATCTTGCTATTTACAAATAGGCATCATTAAAGAATAATGAGCATGTGAGGGAAAGTGCAGCACTGATACAGCAGCAGATGAGACACAGGGAAAAAAACCCAGCTGAAGGTTCTGGGGGGGCAGTTTGATTTATGTAGTGAATACAAAACCTTCTTTTTCAGTACATACAAATAGGATTTCCAGCCATTCTAGTGATTAGTAAGATAGATGTAGGAGTGGGAGGAAAGGCTGCTGGCTGGCAGTTCCAGGAGGAGCAGGTGCCTGGCCTTTTGCTGGAAATGCATACAGCTTGGTTGCATCTCTGCTTTGATGTTGCCTTGTTCTTTTGAAAGGTGACTAAAAGCCTCATACAAACTCGTGGTCCTTCCTATACTAGCAGGGAGGTACCCTGTTAACTGAAAATAATGTTGTCTTTCTTTTCACTCTGCAATGCAGAGCATCTGCAGTTCAGATCGGCAGCAAATTCCCTGGGATGCTGAGGGGAAATCTGGAGCTTTGGGATTGTTCTGCTGGAGCTCGGTGCTGTCAGCACGCTTTCTCCTAATATTAAACTTTCAGATAAATCTGAAGAAATTTTGTTTGTTAATGCATTTTTAAAATCATTTATAAAAGGCCCTTTCATTTGCTATCCATTCCAATGAAAAGGCCAAATTAAGGGGTGTGTTGCAAGCTATTTCTTCCAGGCAGAATTCTGGCATGGCAAATGGATTTTGATCCTTTTCGTTTTGCGGATTAGTTTTGGCCCTGACACTGACTCATTTGGAAAGGTATTTCTTTCTTCTCCAATTGGTGAGCTGTGCTAACTGGGAACGTTTTTAACAGCCTTACAAGAAATTATCTGAAGCATTTTCACTGATTATTCTGTTTCCCCTCCCCCAGACTTGGCATACAGCATCTGTCATCTGCTCTTTGAGAGTTATCTTAGCGATAGACAAAATATTTTTAAAACTGGGATATTTCAAGATCTTTATTTTCTATATTTTTGTCAGAAAAGCTGCATAATATTGCAGATTTCAATCAGCTGCCTGTCCTACCTTCGTCTGGTGCCTGCCGACTTGGGAAGCAGGGGCATTACGGATAACTCCACTGCCTGAATTCAGTGCACTCGAGTTAAAAGCCAGTGAGAAGCCCATTGTTTTTACACAGACCAAAACAGAGGCTGCAGAAGTATTTAACTCACAGCTGTTCCATTTTCAGCTCACAGAACTGTGGGGCATATTTTTTCATTCATATTAATTGAATTTTAAAGTGACCTTGTACACGTATTGATTTGAATTAAAATCTTCCACATCAAGGACAAGTTGGCATATATCCTACAGGCAAAATATTAAAAAGCCAAGTGCTGTCTTAACAGGGTATCGACGGAAGAGGTTGCAGTTTAATGGGAGAAGGTGGCTTAGAAGGGAAATTGTTGCCTTTTTGTTGCAATGGAAAGGTATCCTTTCGGTGTAATAGAGGAGCTTCGTGCAGCTGCTATCTATGGCAGTGCAGGGGTGCATTGTGCCCATTAAAGCAGGGAGAGCCTTGAGCCCCAGCACAGCACCCTGTGCTCCCAGAGTTCAGAGCAGAACTCTCCACTTGTTTTTTTTGCTGTTGTTTTTTATCAGAGCCATTGGGTTTTTGTTCCCTTCCTTCAGGTGATCTGCGGGGACACAGCTCTGCGACCAAAGGTGTAAGTTATAGTCCGTACTTGGGCTTCAGTTACTTGCATTCAGCAGGCATCAAAGGAAAACTGTTGGCTGGAAAACATGATCTTTAAAATGTGGTTTGTGTGAACAAAAACATCACATTCTGAAAATGGTTATAAGTCCTGATCATTAGAGGGAAAAATAAAAGGTCCCTCATTTCTTGTGTACGGCAGAGAATGTGCTTTATCCTTTAAAGAGCTGTGGAGCATCCTTTTGGCTCCCACGTGTAACTGCATCCTCCAGCCTGCTGATGGTTCATTCTTTGTACTGCTTACCTCAGAGTTTCAGCACTGTTAAAAATGATGAACTGTAAGTTCTCAGTGCTTCTACATTTCTTGAGACTTAACTCGTGTACTATTCCTGCTATTCCTTTTGATACGACCCTGCAACAATTGTCTGGAGGTCCTGATTTCTCTTCCAACCTCTCTAAAACTTACAGGAGGAATTCTATGCTAACACAACAGCAGCACAAAATAGGGGAGTGTTCTGTTTCGATGCCAGACTGCTAATTCACTGCTAATACTGCTGTGTGAGCAGAGATCCCAACACAGCACCTCACCCAGGGAGCTCACTCTGCAGTGTGCATTAAGGGTGGCTGTACACAGCTCTCCCAGGTATGGGAGACGAGGGAAGGCAGTGACCCTGCTTGTTTGGCATTCAACAAGTGGGTGATGTGAGCTGCTGTCCTGTTCCAGCCTGCAAAATTTGGCCTTTCAGTTTTGCATGATGGATAATAGCTGCGATCTGGGTAACAGCGACAGCTTCTGAAAGTGAAAAGTGAATCGCTGGAAGGCTGTGAAAATGGATGACCTGTAAAAGGGCAGTGAGCTGATGCAGAAGCATTTCGAGAAGATTTGCGCAGGTCAGCCTGGTGGGGAGGTTTGAGGGCAGCAGGATGTGTATGTGAGCAAGCTGGAGTGCCAAACATGGGACTTTTCAGTTTGTTCCATGTAACTACTAACTCTGAGGATTTTCAGGAACATCCCACACAGGCTTCGGAGCAACTTCATCCAAGTTTTTTTTTTTTTCTGCCTGGCAGCAATGTGAGATATGAACGCAGGGGAAAGAAGTGAGCATCCACTGAAGTGTGTGAAGGGAATGAAAATAGCAAATATTACATATAGAGCCGTGTCTGGGAGTTGGTGGGACTGCCTTTTTGCTCTTCATTAAGAAGATTTCTGTTTTGTTTAAAATTTCTTCTTTTTCTCCTCTGAATTTTGCTGTGTGTAATTGCACAGTGTGGGGTGGAGGCAGTTCTCTCAGTAGGGATGCATCCTAGAAAACCGCTGCTCTTACTGAGGTAGAAAAGAGTAAATAAAAAACCAATTAACTCTGACTGTGCCGACAGCTTTTTTCAGAGTGTCTCCAATTTCTCATCTTGTTTCTAATTAATTCTGCTATTATGACAAAGTAGTTCTGATTCCAGCAGATGATCAGCATCATAGAGCAGCCACATCTGGGACTGTATTTTTAACTTAGTTGTTACAGTGCTGAAATTCCTCTGCTACTTTCTTCTTTCCTTTACTTGCAGACCAACTAGGTCTTGTTACAGAGGATCCCAGTAAGTACCACCTCTAGGCTGAAATTCACAGCAACTGAGACCCTTATTGAGTTGCCTGAGGATGCTGAGTAGTTCCATACTTGTTCATGAAGTCCCAGTGTGGTGGAGGAAGGTGGGAATCAGGAGGAGCTATTTGTGCTGTGGACGTAGCTCAGGCCTTCTTGCAGGCTACCCTACGTCTGCAACAGTTTTTTTCTTCAAAAATTTCTTCTGGCTTGCTTTTTCCTTTATGTTTTTGAAAAATCCTGCCCAGCAGCCTGTCATCTTGAAGGCTGTCATTGACTTCTTTTTCCCTTCTCTTTCCCTTGATCTGTCTGTTGCTGTCAACTCATTCTTTCCTCTTGCTCTAACTCTTCTGGCCCGGAGTTGATTTTTCCACATCCCACACCAAAGAGTTGTCATCAGTTCCTTTTAGGATCTGTAACTGTCCTGCTGTATAGTTCTTTAAAATGGGAAACTGGTATTTACAGCACTTTGGGTGACTGTTCTAAAAAGCTCTGTGCTGTCACTCCGTTCCTACCCCCATTTCCCATCCCAGCACTGTCCTCCAGCACAGTCCATCAGCGTTGACATCGCCTGTTTTCTGCTGTCTGTGTTCCAGCACTTCATCCAGTTCAGATGAACACATGCGAGAACAATCATCATCTTCCTGCTAACATCAGCAGATAAATCCGCTCCCAAAGAAATCAGTCACCGCGCGTCTTTATTGATTTGTTGTGTATTTTTCCTTTTTAATTTCTGCTAACGACTGCTGCCTCCCACCTTGTTTCAACATGAGTAACTGGTGCTGACTAAGAGAATAAAGAGCAATTTTGTGCTTTTGTGGGTGAGTGAAAACTCCGCGATATTTGTACAACAGAACAGAAGGACAAGATTCTTATTAGACGTTTCAACAGGATGGAAGTATGAGTTCATCTTTGAGTGTTAAATTGATTTTTAGATTAAAACATCTTCATTATTGGTTTTGCTTTTTTTTTTTTTTTTTTTTTTTTTTGGTCAATACTGTAATTCAGGTTTATTTCTGCTGTTATATTGTGACAGACCAAGATGCTGCTTTTATTCCTTGCTCTTTGCTGTTACTACAAAAGAAAATTAAACCTTTCAAAATGTAAGATTTTTACTGTTGTAATTGCTATTCTCCCACTTTGTTTTCTTGTAAATATTTTTACATTCTTATTGGACCTAAAGTGTTTTACACTGAACCTATGGCATGCTTTTAAAAGCTAACATTAGGAGAGTTGATTCTTCTTTCAAATTATTTTTGCTTAAATGGACTCCCATTGGAGAATGTGGAACACATTGAAACTAATCATAATTTGCTCGTTGTTTTTTGACAAGTTATTGAGTTGTGTTGTTTATAAAATGGAAAGAGTTGCCTGGCTGTGCCGTGTCTGCACAAGGGAATTCTGTGAATTCATACATTTTTGGTTGCAAATGAATGTCTGCTCTGCACTTTATGGTCTGTCTCTTCCTCATAATGTGCGCAGTGTTTTCAGATCTTCTATTTTGTTCTGTCTATAAAATATTGAAAACTGAGATTGCATCAGCTGAAGCTGTTAACATGATGGTCTTGTGCATTCAGACACCATTAGCTCTCCTTCACCTTGTTTGTCCTTTCCTTGTTCTTGATAGGTTACCTTAGGAAAAGTGTTAAAAGTGATAGTGGTGATGCGGAGCCTCTTCATTGACCGGACGATAGTGAAAGGATACAATGAAAACGTCTATACCGACGATGGCAAGGTAGGTTATCCTGTATCCAGCAACCATCACTTTTATTTTTAGCTGATATTTAAATGTCAGAGAAAAGGAATCCCATCACAAGTATGCTGGAATCGCAAAACTGTCAGAAGGGTTTGTGGATGTTTTACAGGGTTTAAATTTATCATGCTTTCCTTGGATTTTTCATACCCGAATGTCTGACTTCTTTCTAAGCTCTGATGCTCTTGCTTGAATTTCTAATTTATCACCTTAGACCCTCAGATGCCTCATTAATAGTGTCTACTGAGAAAACATTTTTTCAGTGTTCGAGCACATCAATAGCCCAAGGTTCAGTTTTCTCTTTTCTGAGAGCTTTTGGGAAATCTTGGGCTAGCTCTGTGTTCAACTTGATAAGCTCAGCCATGAGAATCACTGCTAGGTAGTCCTCAGTAATTTCCTTGTCAGTATTAGCTCGTCTTGAACAGCAGCTACTAAAGGTGAGTGTTCCCTGTTTCCACGAGGGTTTTGATTCATCAGCCATTCACCCTGCTTGAACCCTTGCATTTCTCCTGGCTGCATGCACTCCAGATGGCTGCCTGCAGCCCGAGTTTGGGACAGAAGCTGATGCCCTTGGCTCACGTTGTTCCTCCTTGGCTCAGGGTGGAGTGGTCTCTGTTACTGAGATAGCAGGACACTCCTGTGCCAGAAACAGTACTAAATGCCTCCATGTTGCACATTTTCTCTCTGGAGCTTTCTCTTCTGATTATGAAGCCTATTAAAATACAAAGTTCATTATATCAAGATGAGTACTTGGCACCCATAGGCCATGTTATAATGAGGTGAGACTTTTTTCCTTTCAGAAGTGATAACTGGATTTCAGCACACAGCAGCACGTTGTGTACTGACCCAGGGTTCAGCAGCTCCAGTCTGAATCTCTGTTCCCCAGAAAAGGCCAGGAGCAGATCTGCCAAAAAGTGTAACGCAGCTGTGTTTCCCAGATGAGAGATTCTCACTTGAAGGGGGGGGCATTGGCCTAGGGAAGAGTAAAATAAAAACTGACTGATTTTTTTATTTGCATTGCTCAGATCTACGGGTTTAAACACCACTTTGCAGCAGAAGCAGTTGTACCCCACTCCCAGTATATCAGCATACAAATGCAGACTAAAGCATCAGCCCCTCTTCGTCCTGAGTTCTGCTGGGAAGTGAAAGAATAGCCGAAAAAGCGCTGACACCACTTGTTGGTTTCCCATGTCACATTTAATGTGGGTGTGCTCATTTTCTCCAATGAATCTGGTTTCCTTTGAGGCTCCCTTGAAATATAATTATGCTGTATGTGCTGAAAAGATGAGTAAAAGTTCCTTTGCAAAACTCAGCATCTGGTGTGGAGCTTCTGTCTCGCTCCAGGTTAGCTCTCAGGAGAGCTGTGTTCCTCCACTGTTGTCATGTGAGAGCGGTTCTCAGCACGGCTGGCTTTGGGCACGGGGCACTAACCTTTGTCTGTGTCCATAGGGAGCAGTTACCTCCTCCTGAGCAGCACTGCTAACACCTGCTTTGCCTTCTTGCTTCAAGCAGTCTGCAGGGGAGGCTGTTCTCTACCAACTTACATTTCAGCATTCGAAGCGGAGCGATGCGACTGCTCCCACAGGGCTGAATGAACCCGTGTCTGTGCCGTGGCAGTTTCTATTCCACCGGGCCATCTCAAGGCTGGAGCAAAGCTGGAGGTCTGCATTTTAGGTATAAATAGGAACATCTCGTCTGACTTCGGTAGAACTGGAGTTGCAGCCTCTTAAATCACGAGTTAATTTGGCTTGGAAGATTGAATATATGCGTAGCTTGCTAGTTTTGCCAACTGGAGCACATATTGACAAACAGTGGGCTCCCTTTTTTTCCACTAATTAACTACACTGGTAATTGGAGTATAAGAATAAGATAGTGCTCTTGCAATGATTCGCTTTACTTTATTGTGCCTGCTGGGAATGAGTGATTACAGTCAATTGCAAACATAGTCCATTCCAATTCCTTCTCTGTCACAACAGCTGCTGTAGGGAAAGTGCTCCACTGTTCTGGCTTCTCAGTTTCTAGCCTGGTGCTGGGAGGGAAGCAGTAGCACTCAGAGACTCAGAAAGGTATGAAGAAGATCAGTGAGTATCCTCTATGTTAGATAATAAAAGTACAGAGAAGCTTTGGGGTTGCTGTAGGGAGTGTCTGTTTTTCCTATGAGCAGTTTGCACAGCAATTGCTGATTTGGGGGTTTTTTGCTTACATATTTGTACGGAGCATTTAATATTTGTAAACAGCAAGGATGAGATTAACTAAAAAGGCATCATACAGTATGGCAGTTCTGAAGCTCCTCTGTTTTCTGTAAGTCATGCTGAAGACGGGATGCTGGAATAAGTCATAGCATCTCTGCACTTCTCTACGTGTAAATAGCTGGGTGGTGGTTTTTGAGTAAGCCTCCTAAGCCACGTATCAAAAGGTCCTTTAAGTAACAAAAGTGAGATTCTCTGGGGGGATTTCTCTACAGGGCGAGGTCTGGGGCAATGCAATGTATTCAGCACTGTCCAACAAGAGAGGAAATGGCCATCATTGGGAAACTGAAGGACGGCTCAGGCAGTAAGTGGAACATGCCTTGTGAGGCACGGAAGAGGAAAGCACAACTGGTTTAGCAAATTTTGCATTTCTGGGAGGAGAAGGGAGAGAGAGCAAACAGGAGAGGTATTGACGTCCCCTGGTGCATTAGGCAGGCAGATCTAGAAATAAAACAAACATGGGTGGCTCTCAGAGCTGTGGAGCTGCGCGTGGCACAGCTAGCAGGTACACAGGAGAGCTGACGTTGCATTATGCAGGTTGCTGTGGGTTGCTGTGCGCTTAGACGTCGCGCTGTCTGCGCTGACAGGAGCTTATGTGAAAGCTTCCCGTGGTCTCTGCTGTACTGAAGTCTAGTTAAATTGGTTGCTCTCTCTTACGGACTTAAATACTTTCAAAACGAAGGTGAAAAAATGAAAAAATAGTGTTAAGCTTTCCATGAGTAAAATAGGATACTGCACTTCGGCGTTTTATTTTCAAGCTTTGCTTATATAGACAAAGCATCAGTGTGTTTCTTAAGTGCTTCATGTACTTCTCTCGTGAATTATTCACAAACCCTGCAGAATGTGTCTTTGCCAGGTTGCCAGCTGCATAACTTAGACATTTTTGGTGACACTTTGCAAAAACAATAGGTGAGCTGTGGCAGGGCTGTCATGCAGCCGGCTCTGTATGCTGACTGCTCTGCCTCTCTCCTGCTTACTGTACCAGCCCATCACGTCCACCCCATACTGATGTGTTTTAATTAGCCCTGTAGCTTCAGCTATGGCACCGTGCCACCTTCGATTTCAAACTTTGACATACTCATTGTGCACTGGAATTTAACCACGGATAGTAATTAATTACTAATGTTGTCCTGATTCCTGAATAAATGAAGCTGTGCAGCTCGCTCTTGCAAGGCAGGCTGATCGTCAGCTGAACCATTAGTTAACCTAGTCTGCCAATAAAAATAGAGATGCATCGGGATTCTGCTGGCACGGTGGGTAACACCCTGCTTCTCTTTGGATTCACCAAGCACCATGGCAGGGTGTATTTGGAGTGGGTACTTAACATCCCTGCCTAGCCAAACTCTAACGTTCGACTTAACTAAAGAAACATAAGTGTCTGTCGAATTATCATGTTAAGGAACTGGGGTTATGTTAATGCTGTGGCTTCATTAATTACCCCATATCAATAAGAAAAGGCAGCTTTTAGCCTCCTAGCGTAAGAGAGGAAAAGAAATAGTAGTATCAAAGGAAAGCTTCAAAGACAGCCGGAGCTGTCTCTCGGGTAATTTCTGATCCCCGTATTCTTTCCACTTCAAAGCTGGATGTGTGTGTGTTTGGGTGAAGGGGGGGTTGAATCCGATTTCTCTAATAAGTGTTGGCACCGGACCTGTTTGATATTAGATGCAGGGAACATTCTGATTTGTTATCGCCTTTGAAATCGTTCAGATGACCTTCAGAAAATGGCCTCTCGTTACTTATGCTGGGGGTGGGTGGGGAGAACGGGGCGCTGGGAAAAAAAAGCCCCAGTTTAATTCACATGCAGAGGATGCCCTGGAATTGTGCTTTCAGCAGTTTTTTAGTTACAAATGTGTGTCTTGATTGAAAGTGAAAAGTTGAAGAATAATAGACCTGTAACGATGCATTCTTTAATCCGCCTCTGCCTTCATCCTCTGGTTGGGGGAAAGGTGGTCAGTCATGTAGGGTTTCTGCATGTGCTTTGGGGAGGGGCTGGTAGCTCTTTTTTTTTCTTTTTTCAGCTTGGCTAACATCATACCTAGGAGACTTTCCTTACTTTTTCAGCTCTCCAATCTCCTTGTCAACTAATGAACATTTCAGAACCTGTTGGACTCATCTTAATGCTTAATGTAGCATCTGAAGTGGGGTTTTTTCTTTAATTTTTATTTTATATCTTGAATCTACCTAGAGAGGATCACACACTGGGCGTGATCACTGGAGATTAGCAAAACCATGTATGTATTCCAATTATAGCAACTCTGTCTGCTTTTGAAGCAAACCCAAACTTACACAAAAACAGCTTAAAAAATCTGTATTAATATTTTATTTTTAAGTGTAGACTTTTTTAATATGGAAATGTGATGCTTCCTTCCCTACAGGCACAGGTACACTGTGCACAGAATGGTGCATGGCTCCAAGTCCCAGCTGGGCTGCTGCTCGTAGGAGCGATGTCGGTGTTCAGGTTCTTGAACCTGCCTTAAGAGCCATAAGTGTAAAGTTTTGAAGGTAACATGCCTTAGGGTACTTCTGCCTTCGGCTGACCTGGAAAAGGCATCGAGGCATCAGCTGCCTTCTGTCTCACGGCAAGGTCAGCACTACTAAGCCATGACACATCCATCCAGAAGTGATGCTAAAATCTTTAACAACATCACCCGTCAGGCTGAGGTTTGGAGACTCAGGAGTCACTTCTGTGCCACTGTTCTGAAGGCAGCCACGTAACAGCTTTTGTCTTAAAGGGATGGGGATTGGTAGCATTCTCAGCCATTTTACCTATGTGCATTAGTTACTGGGGTTCAGTGGCTTTCCCCCTCCTGCGTGTTTTATGCACATGCTGGGACTTCTTCCGTTTCAGGCTCTAACCTGTGTGCCTGTCAGAAGGCTTGTCATTCCAGCTGCAGCTTGTGAGCACTGCTGCAAGTCAGACTGAGATAACTGGCTGCACTTTATAATAAAGGAGGTGAACCCAGCACGGAGTTGCTTCCTTTAAATCCATTTCTTTTAAGGTGTAAACCTGGCAGAGCATGTTTAGTACCACACTCTGTTTATTCTCAAGATTGTACATTTAGCTTGAGATCTCTTATTTACATTTTTAGCATCACTTGTCATATTTTAATAAAATATGTGTATTATACAATTAATGAAACAACTAAATAATGCAATGCAGGTCTTATGTGTGCATTTAAACGCATTTCTCCAAGAAAGCCAGAGCCACTGTATGTGTTTATTTCTCCATGATTAAAGGTGAATTTGCAAGTGAGGACATGCCAGGGGATTTTGTGCACTTTGGAAGAAACCTGGCACTAATGAGTGAAGCTGATGGCTTTTCTTATCCTAGTGGTCGAGCATAGTGGGATCTATAAGACAAAAGTGATTTGCAAGTCAGGGGTTGAAGGAAATTCTCCTTTTTTTTTTCTTCCCTGCTGCTTTTCTGTGACAGTACAAGCTATTCCACGGGGCTGGGCTAAAGAGCACTGGCACATCACTTCGAAGCGTCCGACGAGCGAGCCATTCGTTGTTTAACAAGGGCTGCATTACCTTCTGCTTTCTGGGGTTACTAACATTTATTTCCTATCCAGCTGAGCACACGCTTATGTCGTGGATGTGTGCAGTTATCTACAGCCAGTGTGATTTTGTCTGCGGGTGTAAATGTAGTTTCCTAAGGGATGCTTTATTTAGCCCCAGAAGAGCAGTGCTTTGGCTTAATTCAGCTAAACGTTCTTTGTGTCATTTGTAACTGAATCACTTATTCAGACACAAGACGAGCATCAACTTAGTAAGAATGCCCTCATTTTAGAAACAGACCAAAGCTGATGAATATTTGTGCAGATCAGCCGCAGCCTCAGACAGATGAGCATTTTTTAAAGGGAACACATTAATTCAGCAGATCTCGTATGTATTTTTTTTTATTGAAACTGTAATGAACTGTGTTCCTTTTTCATTGCAAAACAAATTAACTCTGATGTCATTATTTCCCTTTCTTAAATTGCAGCAGATACAGTTGATGGGTCAAAGTAGTGAGCTGAGAAGTGATGCTCCATAGCTCACTTTGGCTGTGCTTTGAGTTGAACAGCTGCTTCCATTCTTGTTCATGGTAATTACACGTAGTAATCTATAACTTTGTTTTTCCTATTGCAGCTTGACATATGGTCCAAATCCAACTATCAAGTGTTTCAGAAGGTAAGTCCCACATCGTTTCTCTCTATGTAGCACACGTGAGATACAGGTAGGGTTGGTTTTAAATAAAACTTCATAATTTATTCCTTTGTCATCTGTTACTAATCCCTTACCATTTATTTCCCATCACAGTTTCAGTCAGTGGTTTGGAATGGGAAGCTGGAGGTTTTACTGCCATGGACTTAAAATTTCATGAGGAATTTTGAAGTACTCTCTGTTTTGGTTTAAATTTTTAGAGGGAAGGAAGAAAGTTATTTTGGATTTTGTTGTGTTGGATTCGTTCTTTTTGGTTGCCTCCCTCCTCTGGAAACTCGATATCTTGGTATTCTGCTGTCTTCCATGCAGGGAGGAGAACATTCATCTTTGAAGGCCTCTTGTAAATATGCTGCAAGTTCAGGCTGTTCTGGGGTTAAATTCTTCTTCCTTATCTTCAAGCCACAGTTCAAGGAGCCCGAGTCTCCAGCTAGCACACTGGCTGCCTTTCATCTGTTTCTGTAGTTTCTGTAACAAATACGGGGCAGGGACTCTAAAGGGCATAAAAGCAGAGGTCAGAGTATGGCATATTGACTCTATTTGTGCATCTTTCTTCCAAGACTTCAGATGCAGTCAGAAGCAAAGATGTTTGACCTGTGGTATTAGCCTGCTGGAGATCAAAGGACAGCTTTTGGGGAGGCTCTCCTCCCTTTGGTTGCTCTCCCTCTCTGCCTAGCATTAAAGCAAAATGTTGCTGTAGTCAGTTCTTTACTCCAGAGATTAGTGGATTAAATATTCTTTCTTTATTTTTTTTTACTCCTCAAAAATATTTTGTGTCAAGTAGGGTAATCCAGTGGGAAGTAAAACAGCATAAATCTTAGTAAATAGTTTATCGGTATACTTTTAAGTAATTTTTGCAATGGAATAAATTTAAGATTCTGTAATTAAGTGCATCATCTCAGTCTCCCCATGTGTGTTTTAGATTGTAGTCTCATTTGGGCATAAGGTTGTCTGCCTGGCATTTTTTCTTAAGAATAACTTGAAGACTTAAGTTATATTGCAAATGTTTGTGATAAATGATGCTAAATCTTGAGGTTTTGATTATATAACTTTCTCTACATGAAAGATAAGAGTACAGTAAGTTGAGAGTTTGCTTAGGAGTCCAAGTTAAGGAGTTGGTGCATAAATCCATCAAGCAAATTTCAGGTTCAGGTGTGAGCTTTCAGATAGAAGGGAGAGAGCTCAGTGAGAATCTGTGAAATACCCTTCTGACAGCTGCCTGCGTGACAGCATTTGGATACATGAGAATCTTTATTTTCTAGTTCATAATGATTTCACTAAAATGTCTTGGATGATAATTCAAAAATGTATGAAGAGAGAAGATGCATTTGTATCATTGTCTGTCGGTGGGCAGGTCTGTGTGTACATGAAATAAGTGGCTGATCTCCTCCTTAATCCTCTAAAATAACGTGATGTGACCTGACTATGAAGTTCCTGTTCTCCAGTTCTCTCTCAATAAATGACACCAAGTGCAAAGATATGTACCAAAAAAAGGAAGGTCTTACAGGGGTAAGGGTTGCCTTGAACCGGTGGAACAGCTCTGTCCTTGTATAGATCATTCCCAGCCCTGTCATTGCTTTACCTTGGGCAATCTGTCTTTGGATCAGTTCTCAGCATCCCTTCAGTTGGGGGGAATACTTGCTGACTGCACAGGAGCTATTGCTGGATTGTTCATAGAGAGCTCTGAGACTCCTGTGTGAAAAGTCTGTCAGAACGCAAGGTGATGCTGCTTTCTAATCAATAGATTCTGCACAGTTGAGCTGGTAGTTAAATAAGCTAAAGCTGAGGCTGAAGTCAGGTTTTCAAACAGATGTCAGAAAATGCCGTAGTTCAGCACAGTAAGTTTTCTCTCGGTGCTGCCGTGTTTGGTTTTGTCTTTATTCCCTGAAACTGTGCTTGTATACATTTAGACATCCTGGAATAGCTGCTCAGCTGTGGCAAAACAGAGGAAGTAGTTAAAATAGTTTGAGGGAAACCATTACGTTCTGTTAGCATTGCAGTACCGCAAGGTCTTCACAACACAAGTTTTAATGTGGCTGAAGGATCATTGGTAATAAGGTCAGAGAGTATTTCT